TTCATTAATCTCTCCAGTCATCGAGGTCATTCGTCCATTAATAATTGACCGGTTGATGTATTTGTCCACGCGTTCATTCATTCATTCGGCGACTCATTCATTAATCCACCCATCTGGGCGGGTCACCTTCCTGGGAATCTTATGTTTGCGACACAACACGAGTGGGGTACTGTGGCATAAACATCGCAGTGTCAAGGAGACGTAAACACAGTCTCGCCACCGTCTTCATTGACACGCGTGCACCTTATGTATGAGAAATCTGAAACAATACAAAAAAAATAAAATGTTTCGGGCAACATCCCCTTATTCAGGTTGTTACCCCAACCACGCATGTATCTCCGCAGTGAAGGTGGTGGCACTTAAGAATTGTGCCGCTCTGGGAATCGACTAAATCACGAAAACATCGATTAATGATAATAATAAGAATGCAGCGGACGAGTTAAAACATCGACTCTTGCCTCCCACGTTAGCGAGTTTTAAATAGTGTAGTATAAGCCAAGACGAAGATATGTTTGTGTATGAGAATCATTACAGTCTCACCGAGAAGCTCGCGTGTATAATACACAATCATTGTTACTCTTTGTATACCCAGCAAACATACAACGATGGCTCAACGTCCCATGTTTGCTAGGATTAGATATGCGTATAGAGTTTAACATGAAGGCTTTCGCGACCAATATCCACAATAAAGGGTTTTTTTGCGGTTAGATCGCGTAAATATAATTATGTCAAGTCGCCTGATGAAACTGGTTGCTATCACCAGCGAAACGTCGTACTCAAATAGTAAATGATGTGGCTTAACTATCCAACACACAACCGGTGTGCCGTACTAGTAACTAATTGGCACATTTCGTTCACGTGTCCAGCCTTACTAATTGGCTGTGTCGGGTGGTGGCTGGCTTAAAGACATGTACGCAATCTACCCCCAATTTTATTTTTTAATTATTATGAACGCATAGAGCTGTGGGATTGATGATCCAATGGGACCGGTGGTTGGCACATTTCCTTGTGAATTAATATGGGTGAGCAAATGAAAAATTCGATTTCCCGGCCACGGCTAACATCAGTGGCGATTGCGATTTGAATTGGGTCATGCACGGCGCTTCCACACCCACCCCCCTCCCTTGCTCGCTCACCAACCACGGCACTGACCGGCGCGGTGAAGTATGGTCAAACAAGCCCTCCTACCACGACCGACACGGCATGACCGAGAGCCTACGTCCAGCAGTGGCTTGACAAAGGACTTACGTATGCGTTATATTACAAGTAACAATACACAGACGGAGCAGTGTGTAGAATAAACTCTGTGGCGTAAACACATTTGGTCGCCGTTATTTATCACGTTGTTACGTTTTAAAAGTGGGTCCTCATACTGCTCCGTGTGGCTTTATTTACGTAGCCGACAAGCGGCACCGTACTCGGCAAACGGTAGCTTTGCTGATGAGCACCAAAAATACCAAAACCACTGCGTGCTAGTCCCTTGTATGTTATTGTTGTTGTTACAACAGTCGCTGTGACGTGCTGTGGGGGGGTACACGTGCTTCATTTTTGTTGTATTCACATTATCATTGCGGACGAAGACGATGAGAACAATCATGTACGAACGATTCTACTGCCGGGCGAATTAGGGTCCTCTCCGCGGTGTGCGAGTCATAGGGGTTGCTCCACCATGCTCGACCATGCTTCACTTTGGCTCAACGAGATTTGGTGAAGGAGGAGGCTATGGGGGTGGTGGGTTAACCCAGACCCGCCTCCGATACCAACTCGCCGCTGACGTGAGCCGTGACAGGGGAGTCGAACTCACGCCGCGGGTTTGAGAACGCAGTGGCGCGCTCACCGTTGAGCTCACCTTTCCCCCTCCACGAACGCGCATCCGATTCACCCCAATGAAAGACTGCCACAGACAGCCGCATAGAGTCCCTAACGGGTTACGATCCAGATGAGGGGTTGGCGTGCCATCTGACTACTACACGGTTTTTTTTGTTCATTGAGCGATAGTTCATTCATTAAACGCACCTGTTTTCATTTTAGCCACAGATCACCGAAGATGCGGCAAATCCCAACCACACACACAAAGACAACGATCCCGCGTATAGCAATAACAACAGACTGTTGGGGCAAGTGCTGTTAGCGAGCATCTCTGAAGGCCGTCACGGCACACGAGGCGGCGGATGGCCAGCACCACGCCTAGCCGCCTTTGTCTCCCTAGTGGCGATGTTTTTAGGCACCGCACCAGGTACTCGTTCGAGGCCGAGGCGACACACAATCACGCCGTATTGCAGCCAAGGAGATGGTCTTGCGGATGACACGGAAGCCATAAATGGCGGCGGTGTCGGCTTCGGAAGGAGGCCTTCATCCAGCAGTGGATTTATCATGTGGTCGATGATGATGTTGTTGTTGATGCATCAGTGGTGTATTGACGACTCTGAATAATGGATACCTACTTCCTCGTTATAATTGTAGATGATGGTGGTGGCTGGGGTGGAATGTTTATACGTTGAAACAGTGTTGCGTTGTGACGCAATGTGAGTATGTCAAGATGATAACAAACACGACACTTAAAGCGGAACAACGTGCAAACATTCGCCTGTCTATCGATGGTTTACATTTTGTTTACGCATTTGGCGAGAGACACTCGGAGGAGGGTTGTCGACCCACGTACTTCACCGCGCTGGTCCGTGCGGCTTCGCGGAGGTGTGGAATGTGATGATGGTGATGATGATTATTATTGCTGTGCACGGGAAGAGGAAGTTATGTAATGTTACGTCGCCTGCTTGAAATCATTGTGACCACGCATTGCATAACGGCTCATCATTTTACCCCGAGCACTGAACATATACGGTTACAGGCCCAAACCTCGACATTGCAGTACTCCAAAAAGTAATGTAGGCGACGTGGTGTATATAGAAATGTAACGTGAAAATTATGCATTTTTTAAAAATAGCACAACATTTGAATTTGGCTTCACCAGCGCGGGTGAAATGTGGTCAAATGACCCGCCACGATCGCCTCGCGACGTCGACTGTCCCTCATCCAGCAGTGGATTGACAAAGGCGGCTGTGTGTGTAACGTCGTGCATATTCATCCACATTTATAATATCGTGTTAAAAAAAACACATTTTGGTTCAATAATCTACGGCTTGTAAGGGCCTGTGTGTGTCCGCAATGACGTTCGCTGATGACGATCGCTTGTGTTGTGATCGAAACGTCGTTGTTTTTGGTTTATTTTACTTTAATTAATTTTAACCCATCTAAGTGACTTTACCGAAGAATATGCGTATATAAATGTTTACGGTCAACACAACCTCGAGATGGGAAATTAACGCAGAACCAAATACAACGCGTCTGTATCTCGAATGTGATTATTGACACATTGAATTGTCTACATGAAGTAAATAAAACATATCTTGATTCTGTGTGTATATATATACACGAAGATAGAAATATGTATTGCATGGATCGTGAGGTTGTGGCGAAGACCTAAGGGATGTATTTATCCAGCAGTGTATTCACTCATGGCTGATACTGATGATGCATGGCACAGTATCTTTGTGAACAAAGTGTGTATAAAGCATTCACAGGGCTCTATTTTCTTGCGTTCCGTTTGCGACGCATTCGCGCCCCGTGCAATTGTTTTGTTGTCATTTTGGAGCTCATCAGCAAAGCTTTTATTCCCCCTCCTGCTGCTGGGACTCATCAATAAAGGTGGTTCACGTTATCAGCGCGGTTCATTGTTTATCGCTATCCACGACGCAACGGCATCAACGCGCGCGTATAACGCAGCCGTGAAGGTGTGAATAATTATCGGTACAATTTCGGAGGGATGGGCCGAATGAATAAATATTCGCACCGCCACGCAACATCTTGAGAGAAGAGCCGACGTCGCGTAATAATTGGTCACGAATTTTGGGGAAAGCGCCCATTTCGGCCACGGCTCCGGACGACTGGGTTATCATTCGCACGTGGATTTTGTGTTTTGAATCGGGGAGCAAATCGTGGCGATTATTTCGCGGTGTGTGTGTGTGACGCGGGGTTAGACGCATTATCGTTAAATTGGTTCTCGAATATATAGTGCGCAATAATTGTTTCGGTTATCTTCAACATTTAGAGAGACTGTAACGTTGCTCCCTGCCCCACACCTCCCCCACTTGGGTTATCGCAAGATTATACTCGCGACGCGGATTCCAATTAGGGTTAATTGTCAATTGGTATACGCTGACATTTTTTTTAAAACCTCCAAATTCAAGCAATACACCGGTGACATTATACGATTACAGTTTGCATATACTACAGCACTGTAGGGAACTGCCTTCACATATTCACGAAACAAAGCTCGTTCGGATGATTAATTATAACTATCCTCTTATGTTATTGCTCTTACGACTGTCTTACTGTGTTATAGCACTACGTCTTCATTTATTCATGATATTGAGACTGCAATAAAATACCGTTTATGCACATTGTATATTACCATCCAGACAAAACCAAATTCAGCAAAGCGTCGCTGCTTCGCTTCCTATTCTTGTTACACTTGTCAAAAGCAATGACATTTTCGCCTCTGAGCTGATGATGGCAGTTCAAATCCACGGCTCTTCTGAATCCGCACACAACGGCCATTGAGCGGGCACGTAACATCCACACCGCCGCACGTGTGATACATCACAGAGGTCTGCCTATACCTTCCCAAAAAACCACGCGCGCACACACACAGCGCTACAATAGCTCCCCGTGTGCCTCCCGCGGTCGGTGTTTCATTTCTGACTTTACTCAACAGCAACAATAACAGCAACAATAATAGCAACAGCAGGGCAAGCAGTATTAACCCGACACAGAAGCGCGCACACACACACGGGACCTGGCGAAAATGTCACACCCTCCATACAGTATGTAAAAATAACATTCGCCCTAAAATCGGCGTATATTCTGCTATTCGCCCGTAATCCGCTTTAAAACGGACCAAAATAAAACGTCAAATAAAAATACAAGAGCAAGCGATTCACCTTCAGCCATGGTATCCCGTCGGCCCTGCGCCCGCGTGGTCTATAGAATGCACTTCCAGCGCGCGAGCGATGAGGCTTGAGAAAAGGCACAAAAGAGGCTTCAGCTAAGCGGGTGGTCAGCACATTGGTCAGCCGTCCGGCAACCCCGAGTCGCCATGGCCAGAGGGTGGGTCGGGAGGGGGCAAAGGCGGGGGGAGGGAGGGGGGGCTCACGTGGGGGCGGGGCCGTGGCGGTGTTGGTGGGTGGGGGGGGGTTGTGCTACGCTTGGGATATCCATGCCCAACAACCGTTCGCAACCTCCTGCATTGTGCGCCCCCATCCATCCACCCTTCCTCCTCCTCTACCTCCCCTCTCTCATCCCCCCCCGCCCGCTCAACTCACCACCTCCTCCTACATCTTTCCTCCCCCCCATCCACCACCACCACGAACCGCCCCCCACCCCCTAACGCACCTCCCCACAACCACCTCTTGTGCCACGTGACACGCAATTACATGCCTTTTGGCTGGCAATTATACATTCCAGTCCAGCGGGCGCCTGGCGACTGACTACCGATGGGGGGTGGGGGTGGCTGTCATGTGCCAGTCCAATAATCGATTGGCAGAGACATTATTCAAATACGCGGACGCACACGTTTTGGCCAGCTTGGGGCCAGTCCGGCCCAGTGTCGCTCAGCAATTGGGAACCTCGTTCACCGCCCCCCACCCCTCTGTGTAGTGGGGGCGAGCGGTGGCGCAGTGGTTGGCTCACTGCGTTCGATTCCCAACCCCCAGCTGCGAGCATCGGTGATATATATTTGATATTTGAATCGGTCCTGGGCTCACTGCGCTCCGTACCACGCGTCACCTGAGTTCGATTCCCGCCCGCGGCTGCTAACATCAGTGATATATTTGACGTCTGAATGTGACCTGGGCTTCCTCCCAGATCAACTCATTGTTACAAAAAAAGAAGACATACCCACCTGGTGAGATGGTGGAACACCATGAGTGGGGGCCACACAGGACTCACTGGGGTGTGGTGTGTGCCACACGCCGTTCCGGTCTTCGTGGGCACTCACAAATAATTAATCTGTTAAAGGTTACACGAGGTGTATTCGCCTTTGTGTGTGTGTGTGAGGCTAGAGAGGAGATGTGTTCAGAACATTTATGTTACATCGGAGGAATCCGATGAGCTATGAAGCTCTTTTTATTAGGGAGGTTTTGAAGCCGATTAGAAATGCCGATGACCGGTGCCAGCGGCTGTGAAGATGGAGGAGGCTCGTTGAAGGACGCTCCTGGGCAGATGGAGGCAGTCGCCATCCAA